ACAGAGTCAACACAACCCTTATCAAAATCCCAATGGCCTTGTTTGCAGAAATAGAGAACCTGATTCTATAATTCACAGGGAATCTCAAAGGACTTCAAAAAAAAAAAAACAAACAAACAAACAAACCACACACACAAAAAAAACCCCAACAACTTCAAGTTGTCTTGTTCAGGGACAAAGTTTGAGGACTTGCGAGTTCCAATTTCAAAAGTTACTACAAAGCTTCAGTCATCAAAACAATGTGGCAGTGGCATAGGATAGACATATGCATTCACTGAAACTCAAAATGGACCAAAGACCTAGACACAAACTAAAACTCTTAGAAGAAAACATATGAGTCAACCTTCATGACCTTGGATTTGGCAATGGATTCTTAGATGTGACACCAAAAGCACAAGCAACAAAAGATGAAATAGGTAAACTAAAGTTTAGCAAAATTTAAAAATTTTGTGCAACCAAGGACAGTATCAAGAGAGCAAGAATAAAATCTACAGAATGGGAGAAGATATTATTTGCAAATCATATAATATCAAGAACACACAAAGAACTCTTAACACTTCACAACAAAAAGATAAACAATCTAATTTCTTAATGTGGGCCAGTGACTTGGGCCGACACTTCTTCAAAGAGGATACAAAAATGGCCAAAAAACAGATGGAAAGATGACCAGTGCTATGAACCATTAGGGAAATGCAAGTTAGAACCACAATGAGATATTACCTCAAACCCACTAAGTTAGTCATGATGAAAAACAAAAACCAGAAAACGAGGGCAGATGAGAATGTAGAGATATTAGAACCTTTTTGAACAGTTGTTAGGAATATATAATGTGCAGTTGCTATGGGAATCATTTTGGGGTTTCCTCAAAGAGTTACCCTATGACCAGCAATTCCAGTCCAAGGAATACAAGCAAAATAAATGAAATCAGGTACCTAAGCAGATACTCCTACAGGCACAGTCATAGCAACACTGTGCACAAAAGCTAAACGCTAGAAGCAACTTAAATGCCCGTTAACTGATGAATGGATAAACAGAATGTGGTCTCTCCACACACCAGAATATTAATCAGCCATAATAAGGAATGAAGTGCAGATACATGCCACAGGATGGATGATTCTTGAAAACTCCACGCTTGTGCTTGGCGAAAGAAGCCACACACTGAAGGCCACATATTGTAGGATTCCACGCATAGGAAGAGACATCCAGAAAAGGCAAGCCCATGGAGTTAGAACACGGGCTGGTGGTTGGTGACCAGGCGCAGGGGAGAAGGCGGGAAGGGGAATAACCACTTTGTGGGCTCAAGGCTTCCTTCTGGAGCGAGGAGAATATTTTGGAACTAAAGAGACATGATGGTCACACCACATTGTCAATGTACTAAATGTCACTGAATTTTATACTTTAAAATGGTTACTGGTGATGCTATCTGGATTTTACCATGAATGACAGAAAAAAGGAGACAAGAGTCCCCTCAGGGAAGAAAAGAGGAGAGAGAGAGAGAGAAGAATAGGAGGCAGCTTGGAGGGGGGGCATTTCCCCAGAGACCCTCTGCCACTGAGACTTCAGCCCCCTCCCACCCCTGCTCTGCTGCTAAGGTCTCCCTCCCCCAAAGGACTCCCAGTGCTGTGAGGTCAGTGACTAGGTCCAAGTCCAAGAGGTGGCCAGACTTCCTGTGCCTCAGGCACCCATGGTTCTCTTTCTCTTGCATGTCCTTCTGCTTAAAACACTCCTTGGCTCCCATGGCCCTCAGAGCAAAGCCACAGCAGTACAAAGGGCCCTGTGTGGCCTGGCCCCTGATCATTTTCTGACCCCATCTCTTGCCAGTCTCCCCCACCTCCCATTTCGTCCCAGCCAGTGGCAAGTACTGTTTCAGAACCTATTGGACATGCTCTTGCCTCAGGGCCTTTGCACTTGCTGATCCTTCTACTTGGAATGCTCTCCCTCCACATTCCCACATAGCTGACTCTCTCCCTCACCACCCCAGTCCATGATCACGTCAGTAAGCCCCTCCCTAGCCTCCCTATTTCAAACTGCAGTCCCCACCACCCTCTTTCCTGCTGTACTTTTGCCCACAGCACTGAGTGCCTTGGAACACACCATATCATTGACTTCATTATGTCTTTGACTCTCTCCCACCTAAATGCCAGGGGCTCTAAGGAGAGGGGCTCTATCTCTTTTGTTATATCTTCCCTGGAACACAGAATGGTGCTCATTAAATACTTACTGGATTAAAAAAATATATATATTTGCTGGATAAATGTATCCCAAGCACTATTCAAGGTCAAGATGTCAGATCAGCATCACACTAGCCCACACCCCAGGCAAACAGTCACTGGGGTTAGCAGAAGGCAACAACTTGGCACTGGCCCAATCCAACCCTCAATGGGGCCAACTCTGGGCCTTGCACGCAGCAGGTGCTCTATAAACATTTCTTCCCCTGAATGGATAACACCTTGGCAAACCTCAGGCTACTGCATCTCCTTCCATGCTTAAAATATTAAGCATTGAAGGCCACACCAGGACAGGACCAGGCATGAGCCCTGGGACACAGGTGGGGGGCAGAGTGAGGTGGGGCAGTTGAGGGGGTGGCATCCCACAGGATGCACAGAAGAGCCAAGAAACCTGCAGGAACTCTCCAGGGCACTGTTCCAGGTGAATGTGGTGGGGGCAGGGGGGATGTTCCTGAGCTGCAGCCCCTAAATGCCAAAACTCCCCAGATGGGCCCATGTCCTGCATGAAGTTCTAGGACACATCACACCTCATCACTCCTCCATGGCACCTGGAACAAAATGCAAGCTCCTCCCATGGCTTGCAAGACCAGGGTGGCTGGGTGCTGCTAGCCTATCCTGACCGTGTGCTGTGCAGCCTCCAGCACCCTTCCCCCTTTCACCCTTTAGGAGCCAAAGTCCCCTCCCCTTCCTGGCGTGTGGCTCTGGAATGTTATTCCCTCCCAGGCCACCCCATCAACCATCGCCCTCCACCCAGCTACCCCTCTATTTTCCTTCCTTTGTAGCCCTTGGTGCTCTGTGAAGTCCTCTTGTGTGGTTACTTCTTTCTTCTCGGTCTCCCACAACAAAAATGCAAATCCATGGGAGCAGGGAAACTTGCTTACTCTTCATTTTGTACCCAGAACATGGTCGGTATTTGATACAGATGTGCTGAAAGATTGACTACTTCACCTTAGTAGGTGCTATGGAAATCATCATGTTTCTCCTTATGCTCTTGCTGCCAGGGAGCTCCAAACCAAATACACAAGCCCAATCATAGCATCTTGCTTAGTCCTCCCAGTCGGCATATCTGAATTCTCCTGCTCTTGACTTCATTTTTCTACTTAGGTCTCTACCAGTCAACACTTTTTATCATTATTATTTATCACACAGTAAGCTGCCTTTAGGCTTTTAGGGGCCCAAGGCCAGCCATGCAGTCAGCCCCGAATAGTTCTCCTGAAGTCTCAAACAGGTGGGGTCCTAGAGCCTATCCCCTCTGCCCCCAGCCTTCCCCTGGCACATTCACATTCAGTCCACCCTGGCCCTACTCTGTTCTGGTCCCTCCCTGCCCCAACCTGCTGCCATCTGTCCCTGCTCCCCACCCTCACCCTCTGGACTCTGGCAGGCATGTCTTCCTGGCCCTGCTCCTGGGCTGTGGACTGTGACCATGCATGTCCGGGTCCCCAGGAAACCAGGGCAGCCAAGGACTGGGCTTCCTGCCAAGGCCTCACACACCTCTCTCTCCCAGGATCCAGGTTTCAACCTCTTCCTGGTAATCTTTCATGAGCTGACACTGTCGCAACTCCATCTAGAATTCTCACAGCTCGGGCCAGAGTCTGGGAGGAGGATGGGTAGCAGCCATGACCAGGAGCCGGGAAGACTGTCTAGATGCCCTACCTAGGGTCTCCCTGAGGGTTGTTGGACTTCCTGGGTGACCTGGAGCAGATGTGGCCTCTTTCTGGGCCTAGGCTTTTACACCTATAGAGGGGAGGCACTTGGTGACCTCTAGCATCTGCCATGGTGCTAGGTCGAAGATGAGCTGGGGGTCAGGAGTCTGGGCTCCCATACCGTTGGCAGAGAACCTGTGGCATCCCTGACCGTGCCCCCATCAGGGCAGGCTGGCAGCACCAGGTTCTGATGCAACCCTCCAGCCTAGCATCCCCTCTAGGGGAGCACCTCACACAGGGGTCTCAGACCCTCAAGCACTGATGAGAGCTTTGTGGCCTATAGCCACAAAGAAGTCACCAGCACACTGTCACGAGCACATGAGCACAGACCCTGGCTTGGTCTGCAGATGGGATTTAAAAATCTTGAAATGAGTTGCCACTTTAAGAAACTAGGGACTGCTGCTTAATAATCTGAATTTCTAACTTCTCTTAGAAAGCCAGGCCCCAGGCCACCCTGGGCCCACAGTGGAGCTGAGTAGCAGCTACCCACTTGGGAAGGGGCAGGAGCTCCCCCATTTGCCCCCATACACCACCCCCACTTGCCTGACCACTTGTTTATAGTCCCTGCTTGGCCCCAGGGAGTTTCAAACTAGTTTCTAGCCCAGCAGTTTTCAACAAATCTTTAGCAGTAGCAGTTCTTAGAATAGAATCTTAAACTTCAGTCCAACATAAAGATAGACCTAAATGGGACAGCTTTGGTTGGATAGGGACAAGGGACGGGGGTCCCCTCACCCATCACGTCAGCAAGGATCTCTGAGGCTTGTTCATAGAACGTAGATTGAAAGGCACTAATGTAGAAGCCAGAAACCCCTATTAAGGTTCAAACTCCACCAAATGGGCATCCTCCCCTTTCTTACCCCCAGGGACAGGGAGCTCACTACCTCCTGGAGCAGCCTAGCCCATCCCTGGTATCTGCCTTTTTATGACACCTCTCTCCTTCTCTTGGGGACCACAGGCTCACATGAGGAGCAGGAATGGAGCCCCTGGAGGCTGTGCTTCCCCAGGCTGGGCTGCCCCTGCTCTGGCCACCCCTCCCAGTCAGCAGCCCCCCAGGCCCCCACCCTTGTACCTTCAATTCATTGAGATAGCGTCTTGTGTGCACCACCAGCAGGTCCTCATCCGAAGCCTCCCGTGCCTCCACCAGCATGCCATCTGACAGAAGCTTCTCTTCTGAAACCACAAAGTGGGCAGCCCATCTCCCTGATGACCTGAAGGCAGACCCAGCTCCAGACCACCTCCTCCAGTAGGCTGTAGTCTTGGCCTCTGCTCACCCTGCCCCAAGTCAGGAGGTGGGCAGCTGCTGGCTTCTGTGAACAGGTGACCTCCCGTGATGCCAGGCCCTCAGGCCAGAGGGCATTAGACATTGGGCACCCAGCAATCCTTGTTTCCCAAGCCACTGACAGCCCAGAGGTGAGCTCAGGTGTGGCTGGACAGCTTTCAGAGGCAGGGGGAACAGAAATCAATAATGTTAACATAAAGTGAGAAAAGCTCTTCTGGATTCTCCCTCCACCTTCTGGTGATGTCATAGGAGGCTCAGTGGGTATGGCCTCTCTTTAAGGCCTGCCTAAGCCCTCGCTTATCTCCCTTTTTAACCCAAAAAGCAGTAGCCACACAGACTGCCAGGCCACAGTAAGCAGCCTGAAAATTACAGTTTTGCTGCATTTATTTTTTTAACCATGACCTTCTATTTATGGCAAATGAAACTGGATTTTCCCATTTAGATGATATAATGTTTCCTTTTAAAACAAGTTTAAGGTTTTTTTTTTTTTTTAAAGCAGAAGCTAAGTTGATTAAAAAAAAGGAAGAAGAAGAAGAAGAAGAAGAAGTAAACAATGGAGCAGGTGGTATGAGAATATGGCAAAGTCCCAAAAGCGGTTTGCAAATAATTGATGTTTGGGTAACGTTGCATCCACCAGGCAAGATTTGCTCTGTTTTGCAAAAGAAAATGCTGAAGCCAAGAGCAGGAAGTGCTCTAGGGCACAGTTAGAACAGACTCATGATGCTCTGGGTTCTAGAGAAATCATAAGGACAAGGTCAGAATCTAAGGAAACAGTGTTAATGTGTAACCTTTAGAAACCAACCGGCTCCATACATTTCCCACATATAGCTCCACATACAGAAGGCACTCTCTACTCTCTCTTCTTCCCCTTACTAACATTCCATGGCTCCCCAATGCCTTCAGGCAAAAGGCCAGCTCTTTTCTTGGCAGCACTGAAGGCCCTTCACCATGTGCCCCCTGCCTCCTTTCCACCCACATCCTCAGAGGAGAGACCTCAGGACGATGGTCAGCTCAGAGATGAGGGAGACAAAAAACCCTATGCTGAGCTGCTGGGCTCCCAAGAAAGGGCAATGGGGGAGTGGCTCAGGTTGGGTCTGCTGGAAACAGAGCATGAAGGACCATACATAGTCTAGAAGGCAAGAGAACCTCGATGTGAGTAGCAGGCTGGTCTCACTAACCACCCCACCCCACCCCCGTCCCCACACCGGGGTTCTCACCATCCTGGCACACCACTTGTACTCTTTTCTACTTAGAGTTTTCTTCGAATACTCATTCTGGCCACTATTGTAAATGGAAAATTGGTATCAATCGCCATAAATAGAAGTTAACCAAAAATAGAAAACATATGTGATAGAGACAAACTGTTATTAATCTGTATCTTGATTCTGTTTTCTGCAACGTGCAGAGCCTGCTGCTTCCTCTACATTTGTTAAAAGGGGAAGATAGGCCTCGGTGTTAAAGACAGGCTAGCCCCAACGTGAAACTTTCTCAATGGCATGATCGGGATTGTGTGATTTCAAGATCCACAATGCCTCATCCTATGCTAGGTAACATTCCCTACTTCTGTCAATTTAAAGAACCCCTAATACGGGGTGGGGGGGGGAGGGTAGGGAAAATATTCTCACACTAGCCTACTGTGATTCCTGTATTTCCCACCTAAACCAGAGCCAAAGCTGAAACTACACTCCAGAGCACCACCCTAGTCAGCAGAATGAGCTGTGAAACGTGGGAGCCTGGAGCTCTGAGTTCTAGACCCCATTCTGCCACTTAGTAGCTGTGTGACTTTGAGCATGTTCCCTAACCTTTCTGGGCTCCAACTTGCTCCATCTGTAATCAGTATGGTTGGGGCAAAGGCACCCTGCTTCTTGGACTCTCTGAGCTTATGGGGAACAGACACTGGATTTTTTTAAACCTCCGTTTCCCTCTGTCCATCTTTAATCAGCTCCCGTTCTCCTGGGCCTGCATGGACAGAGACTGGATCCAAGCCCACAGTGCTGGGGAGCAGTGAAGACTTAAGAGCAACATATCATGCTCAGAGTCTGTTGAAAGACTCTTTGCCAGCACAAGCGGAAGGCAGTCTGAGGGCTGAGCCTGGAGGTGGAACAGTGCAGCTTGTGTTAGGGAAGACACAGGGAGGGGACTGGGGGCTGGGGTGGGGGAGGTGAGCTGGAAGAAACAGATGTAGGGTCTCACAGGGCCTTCCATACCTTTTAGGAAGCTGATCACCTTGCCCCATTTCCCCGCGTCAAAGGGGTGCAGTTTCTCCAGGCCCATGAAGGTTATGTTGTAGCGTGGTGAATACACGATGGGCCAGCGGGTCTCCGGCACATGCTGGTACAGCTGAGTTGTGTGTGGCCTTCCGTGTGCACAGGGACAGACACACACATGGGGGCAGTCTCAGTGCGGAAAGCAGCCTCCTCCTCCCTGACCACGCAGCCCTGACCCAGTACCTCTAGCTCCGTCAGCCCCAGGAAAAGGGCCACTTAGCAACAGCAACAAAGTCATGAGAGCAGCTCCTTACTGCGCACTGGCCCTTTCCCTGCACTATCCAACCCAAACCTCACCCAAGCCCTAGGAGGTAAGCACCAGCATCACAACGGAGGCCTGGAGAGGGAACCAAGGCATGCCCAAGGTCACACTGCAGATTTGTGCGGCGCCCGATGTGCACCCAGGTGAATCTGGCTGCAAGGCCTCAGCATCTCACCTCCACATTACAACAATTAGGCTAAACAGCTGTGCGGCCCTAGGCCTCAGTTTCCTTAACTGTAAAATATGTGACTGTGGCGAGATAATGCATCCAAACAGCTGAGCACAGAAAGCGCCCTACCCGGAGAGCTGGGGGTTGGGGTGACAGTTCCCAGAAACAGCAGGTCTGGGTTCACGCAGGCTGTGGCCCAACCCGCCGCCAGGGATGGAGAGCACCTCAGTCCCGCCACGCAGCTGACCCCCCTCCCCCACATTACACCTCCGCCTCCGCCGCACCGGGACCAGAACGAGGCTCCTGCTGCTGCCACTGCGGGGCGGGGGGGCCTCCGCACAGCTGGTGGAGCCCGGGAGAGAGCAGACGTCAGACCCGCGCATGTCGCGCGCCCTCGCCCAGGTCGGAGCCCCGCGGCCCGCACTGGTCGGTCCCTCGGGCCGCAGAGAAGTGGCGCGGGGCCGGCCCGGGCTCACCCGGCGCGAGCGGCCCCTCTCCCGCCGTACCTGGGCTCGCACCTGGCGGGCCCGCCCGGTAGCCCGCGCACTCGTGCTCCCGCCCACAGGGACCCCTGGGAGCCCCGGGGGCTTGGACCGGCGCCCCACCCCGCGCCCCCACCCCGGCCTCACTCACATCCCGGGGCCGGCCCTCCCTGCGCTGGCCACTGCTCCGCGACCGGGCGGGGCGGGGCACAGCCCCGCCCAGGACACGCCCCCGGCCTCGGCCGCCTCCGCTGGGGGCGGAGCTCCGGCAGGCTCGACTCCGCCCCGCCCGCGCCCGCGCCTGCGTCACAGAGGGCGGGAGACCCGCAGGGAGCGCGCCCGCAGGGCGGAGGCCACGCCTCCAACGGCTGTCAGGCGCCAAGTCCCGCCTTCCGCAGACGCGTGCCCAGTGGAGTGCCGCCGGGCTCGAGAGCCCGCCCCCAGGGGGCGTGGCCCCCGCGCGAGGCCCGGCCCCCGGGGGAGGGGCCGCCCAGGCCCCGCCCAGGCCCCGCCCAGGCCCCGCCCAGGCCCCGCCCAGGCCCCGCCCAGGCCCCGCCCAGGCCCCGCCCGCGCCGCCCTGCGCCCCTGCCCGCTCCCGAGGCTGGGACTTAGGGACGCCTGGTTTCCCGGCGGACTCTGCGGCGGACGCGCAGTGTGACCTTGGAGGAGCGTCTGCGCTCCGGGGACTCCGTTTCCACCAGTAACGTGCGAGGCGGGTGCTCTGGCACTGCAGTCTGTGACCTAGTGAAATCCATGGCCTGTCGGACTTGAGGCCGTCTTTGGCGGCCCCGAGGTGAGACGAGCACAACCCCCACACGTCCTTTGGGCTCCCTGAGCCTCAGTCTCCTATCAGTAGGGCCGGGCTGGTGATGCAAAGCTCGCTCCCTGTTCCTCCCAGCCCCCAAGTCGAGACAGGCCCGCCAAGCGACAGCGGGAAGTGTCCTGGGGCTGGACCGTGGGACGAGGCTCCAACAACAGAGCCCCAGAAGACAGAGACAATGGGCCTCTCTGTTGGCCCAGCTGTCCCCTCCAGCCAAACAAGCAGCTGACCCGAGGGCTGCCAGGAACAGGGTAGCTGGGATCCCTGGTGGCTCCGTGAGGGTGCCCGTGGGCGTGACCGAGTGGGGCCGCGGGAAGGGGAAGGGCACAGAGGCTTGAACAGTGCCCTCCAAGTGCCTGTCGCTTGACTGAATGATGGCACTGGATTCTCGTAACCAAATCCTATGAGGGAGTGCTGTCATCCCGCCAATTATTTCATGAGGTGAGCTGAGGCTCAGGTCTGAATTAAACCTACACTAGACCGCCTCTCAGCACCGCAGCCTTGGGCAGGTTGCTTTAGCCCCCTAGTCCCTCATTTCTGCCTCTGAAAATGAGGTGAGGCCTTCCCACCTACCTCAGAGGGAAGCTGAGATCATTGAGAGAGACAGTAATGCTGATTAATATTTAAAGAGCGCCTTGTGTGTGTTGGGTTCAATTCTAAGAGCTTTATGATCACTTTAATCCTTGTAACAACCCTAAGAGGTGAACAGAGGTTATGCTCATTTTACAGATGAAGAAACCGAGGCACAGAATGGTGAAATAATTCACCCAAAGGTCAGGGATGTGGACAGTTGTAAACCATAGCCTCAGAAGGCAAAAAGTAATATTTGAAAACAAGGGGCAAAAAGTGCGTGCAGTAACCCTGTTTCATCTCAAGAACTTGCTCTGTGGTTTGGAAAGCCACGCAGATAAGTCTGTTGTTGGGAGAACAAGGGTCTAGGGCAGGCTGGACCGGGGAAGCCACAGCCAAAGAGAGTGGGATTCCTCTGAGTAAGAGGGTTTTTTAGGTTGTCCTCTGTGTGGCTGAGGAGGGGGGTGGACTGAGGAGCCCCAGGGGCTTGGGAATAGCTTCAAACTACCCTGCCTGCCTGGACTGCTGAGCCACACTATCGCTTGTGGAAAAAATAAACTAGGTTATTCATACTGTTGGGGGGCCACTCTGTTACAGCATCCTAGCATATCTGCTCACCAAGACCCTGCACTGGGACACAGCAGTGAACCCAGCTGGCAAGATCTGAAACCCTGGTCAAGCTCACAGTGAAGTGACAGGAATCTCAAACTAGGAAGCAATCATAAATTGCAAAATATAAGTGTGTGAAAGGTACAGGAGGGAGGTGGGGGAGAGTAGCGGTGCCCCTGATTTAGACAGTGGTCATGAAAGGACCTTGGAAGACATGGTTGTTTTCCACTTTTTAATCATGTAAATCTGATTTTAAAATGTCATTGTGATATAAGAAGACACTGACTTATTGAACATTATATACTTATTATTTTCACCCTTTTGTACAATCTTGGAATATATTTCATCTTCAAATTAATAAGAAGCTCTCAAAACATTAACACTCCTTTTGAAAAATATAGGCATACAAATGACAACATTAACAGCAGAAATGCACCAAAGATGAATAAATGGCACAGATCCAATATTTCAATATTAGTTAATATTAATTAAATTGACACTGTTAAACCAGGCCCTTTAACAAGTAAGCACCTTTATTTGCATTCTAGTATCTGGCAACAATAACAATAATATTAGCTAGTGTTTTTTAAACCCTTAAGAGTGCCAAGCACTGCTAAACATCTACAATGTGTTTTGTTGTTTGTTTTATTGATGAAGAGATGACTTCCATTTTTTTTATATTTTCAAAAATTATTTCACTTATTTATTTCAGACAGAGAGAGAGAACGAGCAGGGGGGAGAGGGGCAGGGGAAGAGGGGGAAGCCGACTCCCTGCTGAGCAGGAAGCCTGATGGGAAACTCCATCCCAGGACCCTGGGATCATGACGTCAGCCAAAGGTGGACGCCTAACAGACTGAGCCACCCAGGCACTGAAGAGATGGTTTTTATTGTTTTTTAATTTTGACTGATTGATTGATTGAAGAGATGGTTTTTAAATGAGCAGAGGAAACCACAAGTGCAAAGATAGGAGGCCAGATGGAGCAGGAGAAGGTGTATTTTGTTCTTACCACAGTGGGAAACTACCAGGCAGGGTCCCAACCGGAAGGAGAGAACTCATTCAATAGGGTTTAACAATAGGGTTTAATGAAGAGAGTTTATATCACAGGGGCAATTTATCTCCGGTGTGTGGTAGAGATGGGGGCGATGTTGTAAGGAAATCAGTGGGATGGTGCAGTACTTGGGCTGGCAACAGTGGGGAGCCTTTACCCCCTAACTTTGAAGTGAGGAGAAGAGTGGTTTCCTGGAAGCAGCAAGAGCCTCAGTGATGGGTGAGGGCCCCCCCCACCCCGAGAAAAGCTATGGCTAGAGAGACATAGTCACTCCCAAACTGGGAGTAGGTCGGGGGAAATACCCCAACTTTTCTCTCCTCCCACCTTCTGATGCCTGTCAGTGCCTCCCATGGGGTAAACCCAGCTGGAAGCCAAAGAGCAGGGATGCCCAGGTGATGGCATCCAGGGGGATCAGCTTTGTTTGGGGGGGCACAGAGCAGGTAAAAACTGTGGCTCACAGATCTGGGAGGTGGGAGCAAAGCAGAGAATAAGCACAGGTGTTCTAGATGACCTTAAAGATTTCTCCAGCCCTCTCCGTGCCAACTTTGTGACAGCAATGGATTGGGCTTGAAAACTGCCCCCTTTGCCAGTACCATCAGCAAGCATCTTGTTGATCTTGAGCGCTTATCAGGACTTGTCACCATGGAAACCCAAGACTCAGGCTTGGCCACCTATGCCTACCATCCAAACCACAAGTCAGGGAGCTGGTCCAACCAGGTGACCAGGTGATGCCCAAAGAAATCACTGTACCTGTTGGAGCCCCTGGTACCTAGAACTTTTAGAGCCACTGGCCTCAGGCTCAGTCAGATCAGGTTGGGCCCCTCAAGACCGGCAGGGATGTTTGGACACCCCAGAGCTGGATAAAACCATTGCTCCCAACTCTGGGCTCCTAAGAGTGGTTTGCTCTGCCAGGGAGGACTGGCCCTGAGGGAGGTCCACACCCTGAGAACTCATTAGCCCACCGTGCTGCCTGGACTCTGCCACTCGAAAGCATATGAAGCCAACGACGAAGAGCACACGGGCACCCAGGTTCTCCCTCAGCCACACACGTGGAGGGAGACCCAACACCGCACAGCCATGGGCACCCACCCACAGCATCACACCCAAATATACATGCACAAATGCACAGACAGGTGCCGAAGGATGCTCACAGATGGGCATGGATCCACAGTGCATTCCAGCACATCCCAGCCCATGTCTGGCCACCCTGCTGAGCCTTTGATTCTTCCAGTTTCCACTTTCCTGATGGTCCCAGGATGACGGGGGGATGCCCCACCACACGCTCCTGTGACTCCCTGAACCTCTCTGGAATGGCTTGTCTTCTTCCTCACTGTCCCTGTGTCCCAGAAGGGGAAGCTCCTAGAACACAAATATTGAGGGAAGAAAGGAAAGAGGGAAAGAAAGAAGGAAGTTGGGGGGACAACGGGAGGGAGACAGAGACACACTCATGATAAACATGTGACAGTATGATGTAAATATGCTGGGGCAGATCCAGGTCTTGTTGGGCCCTAGGCTTATACAATGGGGGAGAGGAACCATTTTTCAAAAAGGAAGAACGAACCTATGAATACAAGTTAGAGACAGAGCCTTGGAGGGCGCTGTGTAAGCGAGGGCCTTGGAATGCACAGCAAGCTGCTTCTGTCACATGCATGGAAACACAGACGCATACAGGAACACGGACACCAGAGCCCCTGCCTCCCACACGCACGCACACGCGGCTCTAGCCCTCAAATGCTCTCGGGGGCTGGGTCTTCTGGGCACTGGTCTTCTTCAGAGGCCCTTGCACCCCGCATTTAGAATTTAGGCACTGGCCCCGCTGCTTCCACATCACCTGAGCATCCTATTGGACTTAGCTGTTTCAGAGGAGTGGACTCTGTTTTCCATTCCTGCCTCCTCAGAGGAGTGGACATCCCATGAATGTACTTCTCTGTTTCAGAGGAGTGGACTCTGTTCTCCTTTCCTGCCTCCTCACCTGAGCCTGGCCACCCACTGGGAGCTGCCTTCACACCACAGGGGCAGGATGAAAAGGAGGTGGGAGCTGTCTCTGGAGACAGGCTTGGCCAACACTCAGAGAAGTGCTC